TGTGGGATCAATTAGATCCAGCAGTACGTAAATTTTGTCCGACTTCCGGCGCAAGTGTTTAATATATGACTTTCACCTTTCCGAAAGCTACCGCTACATGGTAAGCTGGAGCGTATCAATTTTGAGTAAATTAGAGTCCTTAAATTTCGAAATTTTGAAGTTTCAAGCAGTTCTGAAATTTACCGTTATATGAAAGGCGGCCTCAATTTTAGTCCGATTTCAATAATTTTCAACGGTTTGCTTCTATGTGGCAAGCACAATAACCATACCAAGTTTGGTACAAATTGGTAGAACGATTACCGAGATACATATGTGTAATCATAAGTGGGTGGTGCCACGCCCATTTTCCAAAATTTTATCCTAAACGTATTTCTTGTTGTTGGAAGCATCAATTTTGAATAAATTAGCTTTAATAATTACTGATTTATCGAAGATTTCGTATTACTCTAAATTACCGTTATATGGGATGTAGGCGTGGTTATTGTCCGATTTTTAAAATCTTGGGCCATTTCGAAGGTTATACCAAGGTTAACAACTCTGCCAAGTTTGGAAGAATTTGGTGCAGCGGTTACCAAGATATACACATGTAACCATAAGTGGGCGTGGCTGCGCCCATTTTCCAAAAATCTATAATATTCTTATTTTCCGTCTAAAACTTATTGTAAATATCGATTTTGAGTGAACAATCTTCAGTAGTTTCTAAAATATCGCAGTTTTCGTATTTCTGAAAATTACCGTTATATGGGAGGTAGGCGTGGTTATTGTCCGATTTTGCCCATTTTCAATACCATCTGTCCTACGCCAGAAATAAGGGCACCAAGTTTCGTTAAGATATCTCAATTTTTATTCGAGTTATCGTGTGCACAGACGGACGGACGGGCGGACAGACAGTCACTGCTTAATCGATTTCTCTTTTCATTCTGATCATTTATTTATACATTTGTCTATATCTATCTCGATTCGTTTTGCCTGTTACAAACAAACGTTATGTGAACAAAGTTATAATACCCTTGTGCGCAAGTGCGCTCGGGTATAATAACCGGCCAGCGCAAAATCAACGTATAAATAATAAAAATTTTAAAATTTTTTTCCAGAAAATAATAAATATTTAAAACTATTGCCTTTTGTTTCTTATTAGAAAGATGCAATACAATTAAAAAAGTAACACAGAATTTAAAGAGTCTTTGTTTAAAAACATGAATTTTATTTTATTGAGTCAAACGTTAATTTTTTTGAATTGTGCTCGCTGTTGTTTGATAGTACTTACTCCTAAATCACAAGAACTAAACACGGAATCTCTGCTGCTAATTTACGTTAATATTTTATTTTCCTTAGAATAAAGTATTTACCGCCTTCATATAATAAAAAAAAATTAAATAATAAAAAATAAAACAAATGGAGTCTAAATTCGGGAACTAAATTTTATGTAGACTAACTAAACGCGTGTT